TTCCTTATCTGCAGATAGGATGTGGCAAGCTTCCAGCACCTCGCAAGTCAGTTTGTCTTTGTGCCTCCCTAGGATGCTTGTTTCCCCGAATAACGGACTGCATTTGCACTCGTTACAACGTGTTGCAAGATGTCCTCCTACTGTGGCTCCCAGAGAGTAATCATGTTCGCGTAGTCTATCATTAAGGCATCTGCCCGTTCGACTGACGAAGCTCTTGCCATACGAGAGTGGTATATAATACACCACGCCTGAAGTGCACGGAAGAAAAGGGTTGGCATGTTTCTTACTGCACCTGTGTTTTGTAACACCTTCGGCTAGCGAGTTTACTCTAGAGCAAATTTGGCTTATTTTTTGCAGTGCCGAGAAAACAACTTGGACCCCATAACAACGTTCTTTGTTTTTTAAATTGTGTGAGGTCTTGTGGAGATACGGAATTACCACTGGTCTCGTTTTGTTGGCATCAGTCTTGTTAGATTGGAGGCCTTTTGCCTTTTTCAACAAGGTGTCCGCCACATTAGCCAGTAGTGGTAACAGATAGCTGGCTTTTCTGAGTCTCTTAACCTGCATTGTGAAGTTGGCTCCCATAGTGTGGAAACACAATTTCTTTAGTGCAGAGCCCAAACAGGTTAGAGCAATGCTCCTCTTGAGAATCTTAAAGTGAGCAGAACTATAATCCAAATTTTTTTTCTTTGAGCGTAGGCAGCACACATGCGTGTCACCCAGGTGGAGCAAAAGGTCTGAAAGCTGAAGGACATTTTCTTGAGGGGCTTCATATGTGAATCTAAGGCCCCCTCCATACTCAGTAAATGTCGCCAAAATATCATTCACCTGTGTGCACAATTTTGCTACCTTCAAGAACAACCAGGAAATCATCAAGATAGTGGGCCACCTTGTTAACTCTTACTTTCAAGTGCACTTTCAATGGCACAGTCTACCGCTCCCAGGTAGATGTTGCTGAGGATTGGGGCTACGCAGGAGCTAATACATACTTCTGACTTTTGTGAGAACCATCCATCCCGCCACCCAACAATCATGGACGTTAGATAAAAATGTAACAGCTCTAAAAAGCTCTCGGTTGATATTCCACTAGAGCCTCTGAAGGAGGGCTCTCCATTGACTCCAATACATTTCTTCACTGACTCCAATAATTCATGTGGTAATGAGTAAAAAAGGTTCTCCACATCAATACTGGATGCGGTACCTATCTCATGACTTTTTAATTGCAGGTATTCAATGATTTCCTTAGAATTCACTACTCTGAAGTTGAAGAGTTAAGGCTGTTTGCTCACTCCTCTCTTTCTTTCTAGTTGAGGGAAGAGGTGTGTGTTCTCAAGGCAACCGCTTTTCTTTTCGAAGGATCTGTATTCAGTATTCCAATGTCATTCGAAAAGAACATGAGCCTCCCCATTCATATGGGTTCCAAACTTAAAGCTTTTGATCGGCCCCCCAGAAGGGTTCGCACCGAAGCACTTGACACAGTGAAAAAACAATCTTTCGAACTGCACAAATTCCCGAAGTTTCGTATGTTGCACTTTGAGGGTGACAAGCCACTTGGCAAACTTACCCCTTTGTGGCCTCGAAAGTTCTTGAGGGTGTTATTGGCGCCAATTACAGTGCAAAAAAGATGGAATCTGATGATCTCCACGTCGAGGTCAACACAAAGCAGAAAATTGATGCCCTTCTAAAACTCAACCACGTTTCCGACTACAACATAAGCGTCAATCCTCACCGCAAGCTGAACAGTGTTCAAGGGGTCACTTGTGAGGATGACATGCTTGACTCATCTGAGGCAGAGATAATTGAGGAGTTGTAGCTGCACGATGGATCACTATCTGCCAAGACGGTGTGGAGCGGAAGACAAAGCACATCATTTTGAATTTCGATTAGGGATGTCGTGAACCACCCTAGGTTGGATTTTGAAAGGTTTAGATATTTTCGAAGCGAACTGAGGTTCGAATTCGAAAAAGTTTGATATTTTCGTACCGACTGAGGTTCGAATTCGAAAAATTCGTAACTTTCGATCACAGTGGAGTTTCGAATTCGAAAAGTCTGAAGCTTTCACGGTTTCTAAAATTTCGGGTTAGAATATTTTGAACATCTTTTACCTTGAGGTTCGATAAATTTGAAGATTTCGAACTTTCCTAACTTGAAATTCGAGATATTTGAAAATTTCAAATTTCCTGGAATCTGAAATTCGAAGATTTCAAAACTCTTTGGATATAAAATTCGAAATATTCGAACCCTTCAAATTTTTATAGACAAAGTTAGAAAAATTTGAAAAATTTCAAACTTCTTTCTATATAAAGTTAAAAAAGTTTGAAGGTTTAGATTATCTTTTAACTATTATTCGAAGGAAAAAAAAAAAGAAGAAACTTTGAAGATTTTGAATTTCTTTTAGGTCCAAGTTTTCAAAGTTCGAAGTCCGGTTTTCATGTTCCTCCACAGTTTCAGTTTCAAATAACGTTTTCATAACTCACTGGTTTTCACAAAATCAGGTTTAGAAAAATTAGGGTGTGATATTTGGACTCCGCGAAGTTGGGTCAGGCAATTAAATGAGACGACGAGTGTCCCGGATATGCTGGAATATTTGCCAGTGCAGAGCGACGTGTGACCATAGATCAGTAATTGTGACTGCCAGGAAAATTTCCCGCTAAATCTAGAGGAAAAGTTCCCCCGCTAAATCTAGCGGAAAAATTTCCCCGCTAAATCTAACGGAAAAGTTCCCCCGCTAAATCTAGCGGAAAAATTTCCCCGCTAAATTTGGCGGAAAAATTTCCCCGCTAAATCTAGCGGAAAAGTTCCCCCGCTAAATCTAGCGGAAAAATTTCCCCGCTAAATCTAGCGGAAAAATGTCTCTGTGGGTCACGTGACACTCTTCCCCCCCAGGTCACGTGACCCCCCCCCCCCCCCCCCCCCAGATCACGTGACCCTCAGTACTGTTCCCTCCTCTTCCTCAAGAGCTGCGCTCTAATTCGGCGTTGCAGGGAGTTGTAAACGGCTTTCACTTTTTTTAACACAAAATTTAATTTATTTATCTTAATTATTTTAACACAAAAACCCCTATCAAAAAAAAAAAAAAAGGAAATGTGCGACAGATGGTTTGAGAGTGCTTAGGGCTCACATTATGTTATGCCAAAAAGTAGCCATCTATATAGAAATAACCCGATTTCAGCATTATTGATTCTAGATCGCATCAGTTTCAATGGAGATCTGTCTTACAGGTTCATGAAGTCGTGCCTAGCATTCGACTTCAGCCAAACGTATGGGCAATCACTTCTTTCGGACCCTTTAATTTTATTTGGCAAAGTTTATACAAACAAAGCATTTCAGACTTCAATTGATGGGCCTGTCACTCATCTGATGTGTCAAGCATGTTGTAATCAAATGTCAACGTTGTGAAATGCTGCTGATAAGTACTTTAGCAGGGTCAATAGCTAAAGGAATTTCCCACCCGACCTAGGACAGATTATCGAAATATTTCTCGAGTACTTAATTTCTTTAAAGGAAACAGCCCGAGAAAATATCACTTATTTCTTAGAATATCTGCGTTATTATAGGGTACGTTTCAAGTGTCTAAAGTTCACAAAAAGTTGGTGTCCGCAAAAATCAGACAGTGTGCAGTGAACTGGCGACTTCATATGTTTTTTGCGATTCAGGAGGTTTTTAATCAGGTATTAAACCTGCATTTTTACTATACATCTACTCATTAGTCTCTTTATTAATGCGAAAGCATTAACTGTCTCATGGAGCGAGCCGACATCATCAGTTTGAAGCGCGAAAACGGTACCTAGTTTCCCTGATCCCAAAGGTAACATTGGCTGGCGCGCGGCGATGAGCCTCCCATTGGCCGCTGTGCGCGTCAGTTTCAATGATTGCCGCCAGATGTCGCTGTGTGTCCGTGCTGCCAGTGCGCTGATAAAACTAACCGCCGCAACCCCATGCCACTACGGGCCCCGCGCCGGTTAAAACGGACACGTTGGCGCACGCTCAAAGGCTTCTTCTGCTCGTCTCGCCACCGCCGAACATGGCGCTGCCTCTAGCTCCATATCGTCGCCGGTGCTTCTGCCACTACTCGAAAACATTACTCGCGTCACAAAACTCTGCGCATCACTCCGCGGCGTTTCATTGGACATTCATGCTTTCGCATTCACAACTCATAAGTGCTTAGGTGTCTTCCGACTTTTTATTTAATTTTTATGGAAACTAGGGTCGGTAGGTACGGCCATAGTCGGTTGAAATCCTCCTTGTGCATCATAGTCGTTTTGCCGCCGAACCTGATCGAAATTAACGACAAACATGACCAGATGCATCGTAAGGTGTTCGTAAGAAACTCCGCAAATACGACCCAAAACTACTTCGTGGTTCTCAGATTGGCTCAGTACCACCGCTCTATTAGTTGTGTGCTTTAATGGGCACATTTGTATTATGAATTTATGCGAAACTGACATAACAGATAAACACGGCCACGAGCGCGCTGAAACCGAAACCAATCAAATTGAAGCCACCCAATGGTGGCGAGTGCGCCAGTGGCCCTCTATCCGCCGGTCGGGTAACTGCAGAGATGAAAAGGTCTATACCATTGATATTAATTTCTGCAAGAACAAAAAAAAAAAAAAAACAAATAAATACTCGGGGTCAACCTTTGTGGCATTTTAGTACTGAAGACTGCACAGCTTTCTTTGGTTCTTGAGGTGTACGAGTGCACGGGCACTCATAGCCTTGTATTCATGCCACAAACACTTGCCCCCAAATTCAGGGACACTCACTGAGTTGAAGGCAGTTGTAATCCCAAATTGTACAATATTGGCCGGAGTTGCCTTTAATGGAAAGTATTTTAGTGTTGCCATGAACTGAATCTAATGGTTGTAAAGAAATGAAACCACGGCCTGTGAGCAAAGTATTTTGCAAAGTAATATGACTGCTCATTTCTTAACCATATGGCTATCTTAGTTGTGTATGCTGTGTGTTTACAATTATAAACATACGGATTTTCTTTTTAGGGGAACGAGCTGCACTGTTGGGAGAGACCAGCTGCATGTTGAAAGCCACCGAAGAGATTCTGTTCAGATGCTGTTTTTGCGACCATGTCACCACAGATCCGCGTGAACTCACGAGCCACCTTCTTGGCCATGGAGACGAAGAACAGCCCAAGGACCAGCATTGTTTCTCATTGCTTAGATCTAGGTCCATATTAAGTACTCCTGTAGTGATCGACAGACCTGGTACGTCGCTGAACTCTTCCAGCACCCTGAATGTGCCCGAAACCTTCACCGAGCTTGTGTACATTCCGATTCACGTGGCTGAAAAACCCTTTGGGTGTGTACTGTGCCCCCAAACTTTCAGAAAGCCTGAATTTTTGACAATTCACATTAGAGAGCACACAGGTGAAACACCGTACAAGTGCAAGCGTTGTCCCGAAAGTTTTTCGTCTAAGCGGGGCTTTGCCACCCACACTCGAATGCACAAAAATGAAAGACCTTCCAAGGACGAGTTATGCCCCGAAAGCCTTGTTTATCCTAAGGCCCTGACCAGTCCCACTGAAACATACACTGCTGAAAAACCTTACAAGTGCGAGCAATGCCCTAAAGCCTTTGTTCTGAGTTATACTCTTAACGACCATATGCAGACACATAAAGGTGAAAGACGTCACAAATGTGAGCATTGTGCCAAAACCTTTATTCGGAGATCCTGTCTTATCAGCCACATGTTATTGCACAAAGATGAAAACCCTTACAAGTGTAAGCTATGCCCTATGACTTTTATTCGGCTTGGAGCCCTGGCTAAGCACATTCAAACACACACAGTTGAAAACCGTTTCAAGTGCAAGCTGTGTCCCAGAGCCTTTGATGGAAGCTCTAAACTGAAGTACCACATTCGAACACACAAGGGTGAAAAACCTTACAAGTGCAAGCATTGTCCTAAAGCTTTTGTTGCAAGTGATGCTCTGAAAGACCACATTCTAACACACACAGCTGAAAAACCTTACAGGTGCGAGCATTGTCCTAAAGCTTTTGTTACAAGAGGTGCTCTGAAGCACCACATTGCAACACACACAGAAAAAAAACCTTACAAGTGCGAGCATTGTCCTCGTGCCTTTGCTTGTAAGAGCCGTTTGATTATGCACAATGAAGCACACACGTGTGAAATGCCATATAAATGCAAGCAGTGCCTCGAGGCGTTCAGTCGACTTGAACTGTTGACCGATCACATTGAAACACACAAGGATGAAAAGCCTTATCAGTGCCCCAAATCTCTTTCTCAGAGTGATTCTCTTGATGGCAATATTCAGACATTTACCCGTAAAATATGTTACAAGTGCAAGCATTGTCCCAAAGTCTTTGCTGGGAAACATGCTCTTGCCAACCATGTTCGCTTGCACAAAGGTGAAAAGCCTTACAAATGCAAGCAGTGCCCTAAAGTCTGTATTCGAAGTGATACTCTTAGTAACCATATGCTGACACATAAAAGTGGATACCGCCACAAGTGTGAGCATTGTGCTAAAACCTTTCTTCGAAGGTCCTATTTTATCAGCCACATGCAATTGCACAGGGATGATAACCCTTACAAGTGCAAGCATTGTCCCAAAGTCTTTGCTTTGAAATATGGACTTGTCAGGCATGTTCGAACACACGCAGGTGAAAAACCTTACAAGTGCGAGCAATGCCCTGAAGCCTTTACTCGGAATGATGCTCTTAGTCACCACATGCAGACACATAAAAGTGAAAAACGCTACAAGTGTGAGCATTGTACGAAAACCTTTGCTCGGAGATCCTATCTTATCAGCCACGTGCGAGAAAAGCACACTGGTTAAAGGCCTTATAATTGCAAAGCAGGCCGAAGTCCTTTGGAATGTTTATCGAATCCATCACTCGAGCATGTGTGTTACAATTGCTGGCCATCTCGGAACAATTATTGATTTGTCTTGCTTCAGCAGGCACGTGTGAAGATGTAAGCATCACAAACTTAGACTGAAATAAAAAAAAAAAATTTTTTTTAAAGGGTTTAGATTAGGGGTGGCCAGGCTGACGCGGCCTGAGAGCCGCAAACAAAACCACGAAACTTGTAAGAGCCAAAGGGGGGGACAAACTTTTGTCCAGAGGAATGAACGAAACTCAAACTACTCTCAATCTATCGGAGTCAAAAGTAGTCCAACTGTACGTAAGGTAACAGTAGCACAAGACTACCAAACCGCAACCTCTCCTTTAATATAAAACGCGTTCCATTTCTCTTTTTGGGCAAGCGGTCGTGTGACCGGGAGGGAGGGGGGTGTGTGTGTTGGGGGGGGGTAGTTGTGAGCCCCATGCGGTTCGCTAGCCGCAGCTTGGCCACCCCTGGTCTAGACATATATTACACATTTTTTAAAATTATTTTTCTACGGGAAACAATATTTTTTCGCACAATGTTTACGCTGTTAGACACAATTTGGATGGAGATCACTGCCTGCTCTAAGCCCTGCCCGCAGATTAGCGGTCCCGCCCATTACTAGAGAGTGGCTTGGCTGCTCGGCCAAACATGCTCGCAAGCCTAGTCTCCCCGAGGCGACGTCCGGTGCATCTGGTCTGGCATCTGACACCGCCTGCTAGTTGTGCGGGCAGACGTGCAGCAGCCTCTAGCATTGTCTGCTAATCTACCACCATTTATCGTCGTCTGCAACACCTGTAAGATACAGCCATAAGAGCGGTGCGTCTGCATCCTCCATTGCTTGTGTTTGTCTGCTATTCCACTTCCGTGTAAAGCTCTTTGCAAAGCTCTCAAGACGCGACCATGAAAGCGGCGTCCTAGCTTTCCATCATGCACAAGCAATGGTACAATACAAGCATCTGTCAGCGTCTGTCAATGTGCAATATGTAGTGACCGAAAGGACTGAAAAAATTCTCCAAAATAAATATGCTGTCCTTTCAGTTTTTCTCTTCTTTTCTTGCATAGCGGCCACGATCAAGGAGGGTTAGTGTCATGACGCACAATTAAAAAATGCAACCTAAACATATTGCCTTTAGCAGACCAGATGCACTGCTCAAAACGAGAGCTTCCAGCCTTCGGAAGCGACATGACAGAAACATACCTCAACAAACCTGGCAGGAGGTGAACTCCCAATTTCTTTCTGCGAAAAGGCTCGCAATTTCTTAACCTCTGTAGTTTACCTCTCAATACTGAAAGCATCGTTGCAATCACGGCAGTTGCATGATTATCAGAGTAGCAGGCCTGATTTTACGGGAACCAGCGCATTTATTCAGGATCCAAATGCGGAAACAAACAAATTAAGCCAGATCAAGAAAAATATTTGACGTGGAATGCTAGGCTTATGCAATACTGTGTTCCCCCCTAAGCTGGGACTGCGGTGGAAGTTATGTCCTTGTTGGGCCTGTCGTACGCCTCTCTTTCGCCACGTCATCACGCTCCTGGCCATACCCATGCACAAAGAGCCAGATCAGTTGATAAGAGGGACGCGGCTGATTGGACTGGTGGGCACGTAGCTCCCACCGTACTCTGCTTAAAGCGCCGTTCACACTCTTGCAACCGACTTTGACCGAGAGAGACCAGACTGGTTTTTAAGCCTTTTGCGACTTAGGACCGGATGCGATGCAGCGGAGCTGGGCCTAAGAGGTCGCGAGAGGCTTAAAAACCGGTCTGGTCTCTCTCGGTCTTACTCGGTTGCAAGAGTGTGAACGGGTCTTAAGGCTGAACAAAGAATAGTCCCATTCCGAAAACAGGCACCCTCTCAGCACTTCCGAAGGTGTGTACTTGCGACAGTTGTTCGCTGCAAACTACGTCGGTTGAGGATATCTTCCTCTAAACACCTCGGTGGACGCAAAATGACTCGCACTCGTAAAAACAGGCGAGCTCAACGAGCTTTCTAGCGCCTAAAATTAATGGCCGCAATTGCCGGCAGCCATGTTTGTTATCGTTCGAAACCAAAGGCGAAAAGATGGTCACGTGATATTTTCAAAAACAGTAATGGCCGAAAAATTGAGCATAGCTAACACTGTTTCTGGGTGGGGCTTAGAGTGAGCTACTTACACCTAAGCTGGGTCTAACAACAGAAATATTGTGCAAAGAAATGCTTGTTTTCTATGCAAAAATTTAGACGAAATACATGTCCGAAACAAGCACTTCCAAAAAAATGTTTATTTGTTTTCATTTTAGTGTTCCTTTAGTGGTGTTTTTATATAGATTGACAAAACATTGGTCTTACCAATACCCGCAATGTTAAAAAAAATGTTTGGTTTACCACATGTCTTGTGCACAAGGTCTTTCTTGTTTCAACAGAGTGCCACTCCTTGTCATTGCATTAAAATTAATTGATGGTGAGTGAAGGATCACTTAAAGTCAGCTGTGGTGACAAGGCTTAAATTTTTCTGCTCAGCGAGATTAATCAAAAGCAGACTTCTCAATGGGCTGCATTGGAACACTAACAGAGTCATACTTTTGCTCGTTTCCCCAAGGTGCGTTGCTCTAGATTTGCTGTTTTTGGCTAAAGTAAAATATATCTAAACATTTTCAGCTTCGTTTTTTGCTTCTTTTACCTTGTCTGAGGAAATCAAACCTATTTTCACTGCCTTTGAAACAATTCCATGCAATCACATCATTATCAGTGTCAATTTTAGTCTGTGTGAAACTACATGGAATAATAACTTATGGAGTTTCACTGGTGGTGATTTGTATACTGAGTTTTTCAGCTTATTGCGTTTTTTTTTCACTCGAAGTATTGTTTACTGAATTTAAACAAAATGATGATATAGGTGGCATAGTTGAAAATTCACACTGTTGCAGAGGTTCTTTACCAAAATGCTATGGTGTCTGAGATCAAATTGAGTTGTATAGAAAAGACAAAATTATGTGAATAAATGGCACCTTTTTTATGATCGAGAATATGTAAGAATGGTCTCCAAGCTGGAATTGTACCGTACAGCTTTTGAAGCCTTTGAGCATCAATGATCTCTGGATAAGATTAAATAAAAGGATCTTTGGCTTGCATGAGGCATTTTGCTCCATCGCGCATGCTTACTAAGTCAGAGCGAGCATGTTTATGCGAGAATTTGCGTGTATTGCAAAGCAAGAAACGAAGAGCATATATCAAATACAGTAAACTCTCAATTGAGCGAACTTCAAGGGATCAAAGGAAATAATTCACTTAACTGAAAGTTTACTAAGCTGAATATATGCACTAGAATATGGAACAGCATAGGGCACAGCATACATCGAGTCAAAAGTGTGAAATGCAATTTATGGAGTCAAGTACATTGATATGTACAAAGTGCACAACAGTTACGTTTTTGCCTTTCTCATTTTGAAAAAAGAATCTAATTTTCATTTACACCGGCGCTCTTAAAGCGCATGAAGTAACAAAGTTGTCCAGAGAGTCTGTTTCTTTGCACTTCCAACGGCATCGTCTGCGGGCTTGAAATATTCCGTGCAGAGTCGTTTCCTGTTAGGATTGAATGCAGTTTCTCCTTCAAGCATCGACTTTTGCTACAAAGTAGCCAAAAGCATACTTTTATGTCAAACACAGACCGAAGACTCCATCAGAACTCCTAATAGGTTAATTGAGACATATACAAAATTACCGGCATATGATTGTTCAATAAATGAATAAATATCTGTAGAAGTCAGGTCTCCTGCAGGCATAACACTTTAGTGTCTTGACACTCCAAAAACTGCAGTTTTTTCTACAGGCTAATTTTCGAAGAGTTGTATAAACTTTTCTGGCATGAAAGCTCAAAACTTTCTGCTCAAAAAGTGAGAATTTCTGCTCCAAAACCCGTTTTTCCCTGCTACAAGAGTTGCTTCGAATCACCACTCATCAGTTCCACCACTGATCTTGTCTTCGTCTTCATAAAAAAATACCAATTCTAAATGCAGCTTCCAGACCGACATTTTTGTCGCAGTCCGCGGCCTTGCTCCTTTATTATGTAAAGAAATTCTTAAAACATCTTTTTTTAATTTGTGCCCAAGTGCAAATTTTAGATCTGTTGCACTAGAAACACGTCCATTAAGTGTGCTCATATACACCCGACAGTAGCTTGAAGCATCAGCACACATCCGTCATGTGACGAGTCCGCCTTCATGCTTGTTCCATGGGTCCCTGCTCGGTACACGTGAAAATTTGTTAGAGAGAGTGAAGCGTTGCTGCTCAGTTCCACTAAGATGTGTTCGGCTCATACCCCGAGTGCGCAAACGAAGGAGTGTTCATCATGATCTTGAAACCCCTAGACTGGGAAGGAACTTGACGTTAAATTAGAGGGGACAGAAGAGAGGAAGCAGACAGCATCTCAAACTCAGCTAACAAACCCTATTTCCTACCACGCTTTTCTGTCCACTTCCCAAGGTCATCCACAATGCAAAAAAGCAAACAAAGAAACAAGCTTTGTTCTCCAGGTGACCCAATTTCTAAGCCAGTTCGTTCCAAACACACCAAGGCTCAGAACAATATCAGTAGGAGTAGAAGGGACCCAACCAAAATTGTTCAGCAAAATTAAGTTCTCTACAAACGGACGTTGAAAGCCCACACACACCCACAAAAGAAAAAACAGGTTGAACTGTAGTTTTAGACTCGTAACAAAGACAGCAAACCACCAAAATACATGAACACTCTTTGTACGATAAACAAGATGGTAGCTTGACAGCTGTGTGTCGTTTCTTTGGCTCGTCCTAATCCACTCACTCCGCGTCCCCAGAAATGTGGTCACCCTGTGTACTCGGCAAAAACCAAAAACACACATCCAAAAACGGACATCCGTTCCTTTGCTTTGGTGCTGTGTAAAAAGCAGCTCTCGTCAAAATGTGCCCTAAAACAAGCCCGATTCCGTTCGATCGGCGTGAGGTGACTGTCGTAGACATGTATATTGGATGTCGTCGAAGAAAGGGTAAATAGCACAGGCAAGCTGTGTTTGAAACTTGCGACTCTTTTGTCTGATTTTTAATCTTCTGTGTCTCCGGTTACTATGAAAATATTGGATATTTTGCTTTATACAAGACATTTTTCAAATAAACCCTGTTTGGATAATGCAGCACGTTGGGGTATGTACATACAATATGTTGTTCGATTGATGAGACTCGTATGTTGTGAGCGGGGAATACCCATGAATTTCGGCTATCTTGTGTGGCCAAATATTATCAACAGTTAAGACCTTTGTAGATTGAGACGGCCGAGTACTAGCCATCTTAAAAAAACAGCATTAAATGAAACAAACAGTTGCATTTGTAATGTCGTGCACAAACTCAACAAAAATAGCTTTCATTTGTTTGTTTTTGTTTCCAAAAATGGTGCAATGCTTTTTTGAAGGCCTCGAGAAGTTCTATTCGCCATAAAACACAATAGAAACAATAAAACATGGCAATTTTGCTGCCACCAGTGTCTGGAATTGTGCCTCTGCAGCCTGTCACAGCCCACTGACGAGATAACCTACAGCCCAGTGCAGTCGGGCAACACTGACATACTCTCCCAGAACCAGTGACGGGCGCTGTAAATCCCTTCGTTCGGTCTATACAGGATGTTCAGTCCACTCCTGGCCGCCATGACAAGGGGAAAGAAATACTTCCGGTTCTATACAGATTTGCAAGCCCAGTCTCGGGGCGCCGGCATCTTGCTCAGTTGGGGTGCGCTTTGGCACGGCCATAATCTGATTACGACACCTTAGCAAGGCTTCGTAATCGGATTATGATGCGTTCAAGCGCACCCGGACCGACCAAGATGGCGGCGCCCCAAAGCCGGACTTGCAAATGTGTATATTTAAGTTGTGTTTGGATGATTGCGTGATGGATCTTGGTTCAATAGTGAGCATGTGCATGCGAGCTACGCTCTGGAAATACGCCAGTGTCTTGCTTTTGAGCGGCCGATGCACACCAACATGTTATAAAGGAGAGGGTGAGGCAACTGCGGTGCCTCAACCATCTTGGTACAACAGGCCAACAACAGGTGCCAACCTTGCCATTACGGCACATAGAATTATGAGATGACACGGAGCTGTTGAAAAGAAACCTGAAATATTGAAGCAAGCAAGTCAAAGCCTTAGAAAATTATACATTACAGACTCTAGTCACAATGAAGGGACCGTAATAAAAACTTTTGGTAGAACGTTTGGTAGAACCATGACCCGATTTGGCACTCCTGTGGGGAAGCTTGGCACATATCTTCGGCACCTGTTGGAGGTAGGTGCCCATGGCCGATGCCACGCCATTCACAAACTAGTTGAATGCATTTAAAGACTGGTAGGTTTTAAGTCTCTCTCAAGTATATGGACCCACGATACCTTTGGCAGATATGTAATTTCTTAGAGGAACAAGTGGTCATTCTTTTCATCCAAGGGATCAAGAAAGCATGTCGATCCCATATAAGTAAATTTCAGGAGGCACCACGGTTGGGGTTTGGCGGTGAAACTTCTAAAGTTCTTCACTGCGGGTCCTCAAAAAGATTTTTTTTTAAACTTTCAGCGATGGAGGTATCGCGGGGTGCGAATCACACTCCCCAATTCCTAGATGATCCTATGATCGGCTTCACAATAAAGATGCTTGCGTACAGCTTTCTGTCATGAAAAAATAAAGCAAGGTTCTAATACTGCTCGTATATAGCAAAACTAGAATTATTCGCACGTCGCAGGACCAGCTTTATACTGCTCTTCTACGACGATCATCCAGATGACAGCCATTTTGATTGGCACCAGGGCACACCCTATGAGGAGTGCAAGTTCGCCTGCTTCTTTCACAGGGGATGCAATGATGTCAGAGCGCCGAGCACCTATTGGCCGATTGAAAAAAAAAAAAAATAGTGGGTAGACCCCAAGGCATTTAGCATCGAAGTATACCTACTACCCTTTCAGTCAAAGCTAATCAGAGCTCTGCGTTTTTGTGAAGTAGCCACCTCTTGCTCCTGCGCAAAAAGCGGACGACTTGCTCTCCACATAAGTTGTGAAAGTTGCAAATAGCCAACCGGAAGCAACATACTCCCCCCGGGAAGTTCGCCCATGTTTCTTTTTGTTTACCTCTGCACACACTGTATAAAAGCGATCGCGACTCGCAAGTGGACACCAGGCCCCAGCATATGGCTGGAATGATGCTGAGCTCTCCGCCTAAAAGGCAAATAAATCCCTAAGTCAGCGCGGATCTCTGGGTGTCGGCGGACTCGACTAATAAATGCAGCGGACGCTACTAGCCATCGCGTCCGACAGTGACTGTTTTCTGTTCACATACTTGCCCAGCTCCGTGACCCGAATCGGCTCCATAGAAATGGCCGCCTCTTCTCAAGCTCATAAGATCGTGAAGGCGGCACAGGACCACTGAATATCGGAGCGATATCGGAACGCTCTTCAAATGCCGTATGCACGCCAAAAAGCTACCAGATCGATGGATCTCACCGCCACCATGGCCACCACTCGAAAATCGCTTTTGTGAATGGATGAAAAAGAAAAGCGTTTATTTAATTAAGGTCTGGATAAATTAATGAACGTACAACAGCTGTTGTCATTAGATTGGTGGGTGTCTTGCGCCACCTGGCAAGTGCATACTTTTCGCTTTACTTAAGCGTTCTGTGTCACTTTAATGTTACGCTCTACCTTTCCTTTGATCCTAACCAAGGTTATAAAAAGTTTAATTTTTTGACAGCTTTGTACATTCCGAAGTGAATGTTTGTGGTGTTTAGCATTTCCAGGTAGGGAAAGGCCGATGGCAAGCCAAGCCAAGCCAAGCCGCCAAGCCAAGCTAACCCAAACATTCGGTGATTGGTGTCGTCGGTGTTGGGGCGATTTGGCGGGTTTGGTGCAGGTCACTGATGACTGGTGCGGGTACCGGCTTGGGTGTCTCTACCGTTTGGAACTTTTGACCACTTTGCTTTGTGCGCTCTGAACTTTGGACGCCTCAAGAAGTCGCGAAACGTGGTCCCGTTCCGTGGTCCCTACGGTTCCGTGGAGCTGGGCGGAGATCTGACGCTGCTGAATAGATAACGTCTTTTTCTAATGGAGCAGCCTACGCAGCAGGGTAAGCGATGAGGCTCGAGAGCTGCGATTGCCAAACAATGCACCACGGGTTGTCCAGGCAACCGCGGTTTCCAAACAATGTACATACCGCGGGGGTGTTGCACGATCGCCCCGCGTGCAGAATCCCTGTCGCGAAACACCCGCGTCTAGAAAACGGCGTTCAATTACCCCGTTTCATATTCCCCGCGTGTCCAAAACCCCGCGTTCAACGATCCCAGTTCTTGTGCGAAGCGCAGTTTCTGCTGCTTTTGCAGAGGTGGTGATGTCAAAACGCCGAGCTCTGACTGGCTGCGATTGAAGGATTGTGGGAGACATCAAGGCAGCTTGCTGTGGAGTCTTACTAGAGTGTACTAGAAGGAACGAGTGGGACGAGCTACAGGCTCCGCTCATGCTTTCAGTTGTACCTCAAAATGTGGAAAGCGATCAGGTGGAACCAAGCCACTTCGATCGCAGCGCCCCCTTCGCTGCGATTGCGCAACGACACAGGTCAAGATCATATGGGCAATATAGCCCCTTAGAGTCTATATTGTGCTTTTTATGATTTTGACGTTAAAGGTAACGTCAAAGCACCACCACACGACGACGTTACGCGACTCCAAGATGGTGCCGTAAGGCCGTCGTGACGTTGTGTCGAGGACGATGCCGATTGGCGACATGAAGTCGCTGTTGTAACGTGGTCGTGATGTCGCGTTGAGGACGACGCCGTTACGCGTCATCAAGTCGCCTTTGTGACGCGGTCGTGACATTGCGTCGCGTTGAGGACGACGCCGTTGCGCGACATCGTCACCCTTGTAACGTGGTCATAATGTCGCGCGCCACATCTAAGACGATGTGGAAGTGGTCGTCGATGCCGACATTGATGTCGACACTCCACGCAATGTCAAACATCGCTATGACGTCGCATTAACGTCGTCACCGTGAGCGTTAACGTCACGACGAAGCCTTGACGGTGTGCAACGTCGTCGACTTTGCCAGCATCAGCGTCGACGCGCAGTCACGACGAAGTCTTGACGTTGTCTAATGTCGTCGACGTCGTGAAGCTGTCGGGACGTCTTGATGATGTCGCGTGGCGTCATGTCGACAACGACGTCCACGAACTGGCACCAAGCGTCCTTATGACGTTGAATTGACAAGGACGCCGTCATCTTGACGTCGCGTGATGTTGTCGTCGTCGTCGTCATTGTCAACATTGACATCGTCGTCGTTGTCAACGGAATATTACGTCGGAACGCAGTCTTGATGTCGGGTAACGCACATTGTCGATGACGACGTTGACATCAAGGCGCCGTCCTGATGTCGCATGGCGTTGTGACGACAAGTCAGGTGGCGGTGACTCTATGTATGTGACGCCTGACGTCTAGGTTGTATAAAAAATACAGTCATTGTTCTATCGTTTCTATGACCTTGACCAGTGTGCCGGTCGAGCTTGACATTGGAACAAAACCCGTTTTTCATAAAAAAGAGGCAAAGTGGCTCGAATTAGCCGTTTTTTTCCACATGCAGAGGTACCAAAAAAGCACTCCGGTGGCTCCACTCATTCTTTCTAGTACACTCTAGTCTTACCACTATCCTTCGATCAGAGCCAACCAGAGCTCGGCGTTCTGGCGCCAGTAAAACCCCTGCAAAAGAAGCAGACATAATTGCGCTCCTCACTCCCTGCGTGCCAAAAGCCCCGTCCTCACTGCCTTGTCTCTTTCGGGTCTACTCTACAACTGGTGCCTTTAGACTATAGTGATGGACCGAATCTGCCAAACTTCAGATTTGGCAAAGTTTGGCACATGCCGAGCTTGTGAACTAATGTTCGGCAAAAGTTCGGCAAATGTCTGCGCACGTGCGAGAATGCGACGGGGCCATGGATTGCAAATGGACGCCATGCGGTCGTGCTGTTACCATCGTACAGTGTAGTACAACCAGCGGTTATGGCGAGCTGTGCAGTTGGCAACACAGTAACTGTGCTTTTGTGAGCCTTTGCGAGTGTGGTTCTCTTAAATATTTTCTGCCTCAAGAACAAGATCGACCAGTAATTTACGCAGTACACTGCGCAAGTGACAAATGATGCGGTGCATTCTAGATGACATGATTTTCATTTGACCTTACCAGGGATGCAACGAGGTAGTTGAAACATTGACTGACAATTACTTTAAAGCACTCCTTGCATTTAGAACAATCCTCTTTTCGGCTTACAAAGGGTTTGTGTTAAAACAAAATGATATTGCATTTTAATTAGCGTTATTGCGTGGTTTTAGTATCTGTATATAACTAAACCCAGAGCTATCATGCTTGACGTTGCACATCCGACATTCCTAACTCTTCCCCTCTTACTAAACGTCTGTGTGTGTTTTAACACCAGAAACCGGCATTTTAAAGGTTAAAAAGGAGACGTTGCGACTATGGGATGCACACTTCCGCGCAAAGCTGACATCAAGTGACTCAAATCGAAAAACATGCTTATTTACAATAATATTGTTATCTCTTTTGGTGAAGGCTCAGCAACCGTTGCATTTGTTTTCACGCACGAAACAGTGACTCCCAGAGAAAGTAAGAACACAGTGTTATTGCCTTTATTTCGACAATGTACACACACTTGCAGGCTTGCACTGATGAGGCCTGAAGACCGAAACTCTCATAGCGGGATTTGCGACTGCGTCCGCTATTACCCCACCTCGTTGTCACGCCACTTCTGCAAGAAGTCACGAAAATTGACAGTAAACATGGGAAAACAACACTGATACAATTATCTTGTAAAATATCACCTTATTTAGTAATAACTGTCAATATGCATTACATGTTGTATTTAACTTAAAAAAACAACAACATAAAACCTTTTTTCGCTAGAAAAAAACTAAATATCAACGTCTGGCAACAATGTATTTTTGCCGAATGTTGAGAAAAGTTAGTCAAAAGTTTGGCTTTGCCAAATCCCAAGATTCGGTGCTGAATTTTCGATTCGACAAAAGTTCAACCCATCACTACTTAAAACCTACGCGAGTCGTAAAAGAAGCCTGGGGATAAAGTATGGTTGGCCAAATTGTTCTCTGTTTTCATTGTGGCAGTTCCTATGTAGAGGGACAAAAATGCGCTCTACCTAGAATATATATAAAAATCAGTTTTCAATAGACCCATTTCATAATATCTGAGTCTGCTCCTGTTTGGGCATATACAGGGTGTCACAAATGAAAATTTACACGGTCTTTTTTACCGCAAAAATAAACTAGGCATCGCCGAACGCTCATTCTCCGCCCAAAGGTAAAGCTAGAGGTCACAACCAGATGCCAAAGTTTCAGCCCGATCCGATAACTTAATCAAAAGTTGTAAGTGATTTTCTGAAAATTTCAATGGGAAAATGGAGCCCAATTTTGCCCGTTTTCGGTTTCTGGTGCCATAGAGCTCCATGTGTTTGAAAATTCCGTCGGCCGCCATTTTCCCATTGAAATTTTCAGAAAATCACTTACTTTTGATTAAGTTATCGGCTGAAACTTTGGCATCTGGTTGTGACCTCTAGCTCTACCTTTGGGCGCAGAATGAGCGTTCGTCGATGCCTAGTTTATTTTTGCGATAAAAAAGACCGTGTAAATTTTCTTTTGTGACACCCTGTACTCCCTGAGCATGTATACATGCCTTGCACCCGATGTCACACTAGGGAAAGGAAGGGCCCTGCACCGATGCGCTCACGAAGGCGTAGGATGCCGCCAACTGCCCGGACATGTGCTGACATGCGCCACATTTTTGACAAACATACCTTACTTCTGTGATATGTGAACTTGAAAGAACTTGTTAGGCTTAAGCTGATAACGTTTAGCCAGTACGTTCAGCAGAAGTTTTCGGCCACGAATAAAGTTTATATATTCCTCCAATTCAGTTTTGATGCGAAGCGGTGTCGGTGTGGCAAAATGAGCCTCATTACGCGCCCCTTCGATTATTGGATGAGCGGCTCGTAGTAAGTAGTTCAGATTTCGCAAAGTAGTGGTATACAACACGAGGTTACCACGTTCTGGACGGCACAAGCCGAGATGCTGAGGACGGCACAAGCCGTCCACAGCATCTTGGCAAGCGTGCACTCGGGGGCCGCTGCCGACCGATCGCAGCCTGTTCGGGCTCACGCCGCAACAGGCTCACCCATACTCAGCGAGGGAGCCCCGAAAGGTGCGCTCGAAGCGTGGAAACGGTCGGATGAAGTGAACGTCGAAGTGCATGCACATCACGAACAGGTCGAGGCGATGCAAAGGGGTGCGCAAACGTAAGCAACAATACAAAAGTGCCGTCACTCGCCGCTACGATATGCGTCCTGCGAACTCAGTACCGAACGACCGCATCCCTTCCCTGTCAAACATGCTTTCTCTAACTTTACGGCTACTCTGTCGCTGAGCATGCCGATAAAGCAATTTTCGGGACACGTATACTGCTACAGCCAAATGCGGCGCAGTTTACCATGACTCTCACTGCGAATAGCCATCAACTAGGCCACCAGCAAGGTGGCTGCCGGTGTTCGACATCATCTTGCGACGTAGATGCAGGGCACGTACTGGACATGAGGGTTGCGTCGGCGTTCGGAGCGAACTCGGCTCAGCCAGCATCAAGAATGACTGCTGCGTCAGCGTTTGGCGAGTACTCGGATCCAATCGCATGCTTCGTACCCGAGAAATGGTGACCTTCATTATTGCTTGGTGAAAGACTATTGCGGGAAGATAAACCACATGCCTGGAACAGTGCCCTCATACATCTTTGCTTTTCTAGGTCTCAAGAAATATGAGGCCAGAAGCTAAGTATAGCTATTGGAGCTATCCAATGACGGTCAGACTCTCAAACGACTCAAGATAGGGACCGATAAAGAGAACACGATCAAGGAACTGGAGGAATGTTTGTGGAATGATTCCATTAGCTCTCTCCTTACCACTGGGAAACTGCCCATTAAAAAAACATGTTAAAAAAGAGAAATAATACTGGGAAAGTACTGTTTTTTGTTTGTTTTTTAAACACGTTTTAAAATGTTTTGGAGTATAT